TGCTATTACATTACTAGGCATGAGAATAAAGGATTATTTCCCCCTGCACAGCAATGCATTTATCTGCATCTATGCCTCTTATGACGTCACGTTTAGCCACACCCACCGACAGGAAGTAACATTGAAGCAAGCAAAATGAGCATATTTGAAGGCTCATATCTCAGTGAATAAATTTTTTTAGACAATAGGAGTTGCAACACATCATTATTATGGTCAGGCAATCATATTAAGACCATAAAATAAATATCCAAAAAATACATTGCAGTTACCCTTTAACTAATACACACATACATGTACATATACATGTACATGTATACATACTGTATAATGTATCATTTCTATTAACACATTTACTGGATATTTAAAACATGTAACCATGTGATATGGTTACATGTAATATACATGTACATGTACATGTAATTATACTACATGTGTACATATGTATTATTTCAGATATACTGTTTGACATACGTGTAAAAAAATTTTTTATGAGTATGTTAATATTAATGGTGGTTGAGTAATACTTTCTTTCTCACATTTATAGTCAATCACTGATATGTCGTTCTCACCTGATGGTAATGTACTAGCTACTTGTAGTGACGATGGATATTTAAAGTTTTGGCAATTAAATCAAGAGAACGGTGAAACAGTGACATGCCTTCATGAACATCAACCTGATGAAGGCGAACCAGTAACTAGACTTATGTTTATGGACAATCTTGTACTACCAGACACTGAGTAGGTGTATTGTTCTAATTCTGAAGTATTTTACTCTAAATAGTGCCCAGTTTTGGCGGTTCCTTGTGACAGGTTCCCGTAGTAACAGTGTTATTAAGATATGGTGCACTGTCAATTGGAAGCCATTGCACACAATAAGGTACATTTGTATACAGTACAACTACATGTACATTTTGTACATGTGCATACCATATAGAGGGAAATATTTGAAAGTGCAAATTTTCAAAAAAATTGAAATGGGCTTTAGAATAAAGTTTTCAAATTACAAATTTTATACACTTTCACATATGCACATGTGGTTTTTGACCACGGCCATCACACGTGAAGTTGTGTGCTCAAGGAAAAAAGATGGAAAGATGTAGCAGCTTTACTGTGGAGGCTATGGTAAGTGGATGCCACATTTTTCAGGACATCTGGGAGGCTGAATTAGATAAAGAATCACCCTATCAAAAAGAATCTTTGAATATTTCTGATCCCTTGCCGTAGCAGTTATGATGTTGGCGTAATTGTAGGCCATGTTCCTAAGAGATGTCTTCTGTTTCTTCACTTTGTCTTGACAGAAATGGATCGATAACCTGTTGTGTATAAGGCCACAAAAGATGCTCACATGATCTTCCTAAAGGAAGTATGGAAATTCCTTGTTGGGGCGAGCATGAGCGAGCCCCACTCAGGCGAAGTCTCCCTCCCTCTGTATGTATGTACATGTATGTATGTACGTACGTCTCCAGTCACGCCTATTCTGGTCACACCCCATGTGTGCACTACTCTCTATTTAAAATCAATGATCTAATGCGGTAGCATTCTGATGAAATATTTTCATTGGTGTGGGTGCATGTGGTTGCAATGAAACAAAATGGCGACTATCAAGATACCAGCTCAAGCAAATCTTACTGAAGCTTACTTGCAGCAAATAAGACTGATCTGTTGTCCAGGCACTTCTCCAGCAAAAAAAAGTTAAGAAAGCAGATATAAATCTTAAAGGTCTTTTTACTTATGATTGAATGACAGAATAAAAGGTTTGATTATTTTGATTGGCTCAGAGTCAAAGAAAAGAAGGCCTATAGCAGTACTGTGCTTAGCTATACAGTTAAATTGTTTAAATTGCAGCTGAGATTCTTTGCTAACAATAAAGGTAGGAGAGCAAGCTATAAAATTGTCTTCCAATGGGCCATGCATGCAATCAGTGTATGCTCATGCTTGCCCCATAATGTTTTACATTCGTCTAGTACTTTAACTTTTGAAGGAGAATTTATACAATGTAAGTGCTCAGAAAGGCTAAGAAGTTAATTGAAAATGCACTTGGAGGACATCAGAAACCATCCAAGCGAAGAAGAGTTATGATTCAGAACATATGAAGCATTCACAGCTATGGGTACAGCATGGAAAGCTTATGCTTGACTTGACTCAACACTAACTTACTGTACATCAGATGGAGAGAAGCTACATGTGTATCATCAACACTTCTCAATATTACTTAAGCATTGATGTCTGGTTGCCAGACAACTTTTTACCAGTATAAAAGAAAGGAAGCTTTAACCACAACACCTTTAATGAGCATTCAAATTGCTCACTCTTGTTCTAATCATTGGATTATAGCATCTGCTGTGTATGTTTCAGTACATGTAGGTGTTGTGAAGGTGTATGATTCAGCATAATTATGACAGTGTGGACAGGGAAACCAGATAAGTTATTTTTGATTTGTTCAGTCAGCATTACTCTATAAAAGTACAATATAGTTAAAAGCCAGAAGCAAGATGGTGGGAAAGACATAGTCTCGCGTAGCCAGCCCCTCCCTCAACGGGAGGGTCTGGTCGAATGAGTGTACACCATTTGTTCTCCGTGATTAATTAAATAAGTCCGTATATGTTTGTTCACCACCGCATTATGCAACATGTGGTTAAATATTTGCTATCTCATTTGTTGTTGGCGAGGCTGTTGGAGAGAGCAGGCTACAAGTTTTGTCTGGACGGCTAAACAGCTTCTGTTTTGCCTCTTTTTTTTGCGTTAGTGCCAGAGTTTTTAGCTTGAATAAGAGCATCTGATGTACCACAAGGATTAAGGTAACGCCTACTAAAACCACATCCGGTTCACCCTGTTTTGGGGTGAAGTAGAACGAACGATCTACACTCATTCAACCAGACCCTCCCGTTGAGGGAGGGGCTGGCTACACGAGACTAGGAAAGACAGTGGGTTATTTGCTATTATTAGTGCAACTGTACTTTGCTTTGTTAAAAACCCTGGTATGATTGTGTTTGAAAATAAACACATGATAAATGCTGCAGATTAATTATTATAAAGTGTACATTATTATATTATTGAAAATGTAACAATTAATTTTTTTACAGATTAGCTATTAATTTGTTATTTGTGTATATAATGCATAATCAATGTAAAAGTCAATCATGCTTTATAATGTCAAAAATTCCAGCCACCTTGAAGCCATTACTTATAATAGACTCATAACTATGAAGTAGTGTTGTATTGATATCACATTTTGGATTTGGTTTTAGTTATGGTATTTTCACCAATTCTCATGATTTATAGATATTAGTTTTAGTAATTTTACCGAAAGTAAAACTCTATTGGTATTGGTAACGAATATTAATTTTGGTAGATTATAGTAACTACATATAATTTAACAAAACTAACTCTAGTCATACTATTAACCTTAGACTAATGATGATTTAATTGTAGTAAAATTAATTGTATTAGTTCAGCATCATTAGTGTAGTAGTCCCATACGTTACTGTTCCTTAGTCTTCCACTTATAGTAGCCATTTTGCAACTAAGATAGCTACACATAGCATTTGCTTCATGAATTTGCACATGGTAATCTAGTGATATCAATCTAATCTGTTTACTGTTCAGTGAACATTGTTGTACCAAATGTATTGCATAGAAGTTGAATATTGGTTATAAATTTTAGTAAAGTAATTTGTGCTATTTTTAGTATTGGTTTTAGTTATGGTATTTTAATACTTTTAGTATTAGTTTTAGTTATGATATACCAAATTTCATGACCCAGTACCAAAATACTTTTAGTATTAGTAATGGTATACCAATACAACACTACTATGAAGGTAGTCATTAACACGAACTAGCCATTTTGCCCCATCAGGTTTCATCACAGGCATCCTATGATCAACCTGTAAAAATTCTTCCACTCCTTGCTCAAGTTGATCCTCGACTTGAAGGCATGCTACTGACGAAACTTGTCTCTCATAAATTTTTTCATAGACTTGTTTACATTGAGGTTTATCAGTTGCAATCGATCTGTGAAATTTGCCAGTACTTTAACTGCATTTACGGTACATGTAGATGCTGTTTTCTTGTAGCATTGAAGATGTTCCTTTTGTAACTTCGCCTTGAAAGACATCAAAAATGGCTAGTACTGGGAAATCAGATGATAGCCCAAATTCAAATTTCAAATGTACAATGTATTTGCTTGATATGCATGTATATATGGGAAGATAATCAAATCTAAGTATTCTTCATTTTCTGCTCATTTGACCAGTGGTTACTGGTACTGGTGGCAATGCCATTCTCCTGGAAAATTGGAATTAGGTAGACATATACATGTACTTAATTGTCTTTCTGATTGTCATATCAACTGAAATGGCAAAACCTTTCCATCCATAATCCCACAGACCACAGCTGTGATCTGACTTACTCTTTTATCGTACAATCTGTAAGTACCTACTATTTCTACCCTTTTTGCTCTTTGGTTCTCTATTGTCGTTGTGCAATACTCTTTTGCAGTTTTATTGTATTTGAAAACATGAGAATGTGCGATCTCTTCCATTTCAATGATGGCCTTAATATCCAGTGGAAACTGTTCTTTTAGTTCCTAATAATTGGATACAGTGATTTGGCAGCTGAACTATCCCTTCTTTTGATGAAATTCATTCTGTATACAAACGAATTTGCCCAATAACTGGTGATTAAAATTGGGCCACCATTTTCTGACAAAACGTTTTGATTTGATCTTCCTGTTGCAGCTGCCATAGCGATGGATTTAGTAATGATACCAGTAGCAATGATGACAGAGATGGCTTGACAGAGAACTGGCTTTTATTATTTCTTTGCCTAATGTCTTTGAGAAATGTCTGCGATGCCTGTTCCTCGGGGCTGAATCTTTGGTACTGTTCTCATTAACTCAGTTTTTTTGCCTGAAGAACAGACAGCTTTGTTGGCAGCTTTAATCGTGTCTGTACCCAAGAAAGCTGACATCAAGGAGGATGCCACCAGCACTATCATGCTTAAAGTAACAGAATAGAGCCATTTTCACAGACAATGTGCAGTAATGGGCAAGGTTGTTCAGACCTTTTAAAGTTTTTAATTTTTGAATTTTTAAAATTTTGCACAATCTTTCTCAATTCAAATATATAATTCAAAAATTTGCACCCTTTGAAAATTTTTCTCTGTAGCAAAAGTTTAAGTAAATGAGGCTTTTTACAATAGATCGTTTCAGCTCAATAAGTTGATTGGTATAGGTAATAGGTTCATCATGTACATGTACATACATATGAAATTGTGAAATGAATTGAAATCGAATTGCTTCAGAACTTAATTAATAGTGCTAGTTAAAAAATAGCTTTAAGTATCTCCTTTCCTCCTTATAGGTTTTATCCTCCATTTGGTACTGATGAGGACAGTCCAAATATTTCAATGAACATTGACTCCACTGCCTCATACATAACAATGGCTGACTCACTACGTAATGTAAGTAGAACAATACCCTACGCATACACATGTATATATGTACATGTACATGTATTTGTTATTATTTATTATGTTAGGTGTTATATGTGCTACAGTTACATCAAGATCCTGTAAATGGAGTTGCTTCCTTCTCCTCAATTACTGAATATTTATTAACTCAACCAATATTGAGTTTTGTGTTATCAGGCCACACCCCTTCAACCAGTATTGATGATGCTCTTAGTACCAGTGATACTGATGAGTCTGATGATCAAGAACACTTCAATCCGAAGAGGAACTCCGTAACACTTAAACTACACTGCATTCAAACAAAGTACACATACATGTGCATGTAAATGTACCGTATATCCTTAAAGAAATGCCGGATGTGAATAAATGCTGGGGTAGTGATAGAATTAAAGTATAAATATGCAAATCTAGCCCTACAAAAACTTAGATGCCTTGTAGATACATGTACTTCCTTAAGTTTCTGAGGGGAAGTGCATGAGGTCACGGGTTCAAATCCCGCTCTGGGCCCAATTTTTTTAATTTTTAAATTTTTTGAGGTCCAAATGCCATTTTCGGAAATACCTTAAGCCTACTATTATTTGCATCTACTAATTTCAGTGAAATCAGCAAAAGTCATGTTTAGCGTTACTAATTTTAGCGTTTTTAACCAAATTAACTATAAATAATAACCATTATAATGAATAATAATTATTTTGGCGTCTATTTAATTTAGCGGTTTTAAGCTCTCTCGCTAATATAGCTAAATTTAGTAGACGCTAAAAATAGTAGGCTTAAGGTAGATGCCTGGGCTTTTATTCAAGGAGATATGGTATACATTTGGTTATTTGGATGAATTCTATAAATACCTTTGTCTATTCGTTACTAATAGCAAGAGTGCATATACATGTACATGTACATTGTGTACATTTACATGTGTTTTAATTATTATTATTATCACGAGTGTAATACATTGTACATGTACTGTAGTTAGAAAGTACTGTACAGCAACTCTATATACTGTAGGTCCATGCAAGAGTTATTGGTCTCTTTTGATCCTCCTGATGTCACTGGAATACCACCACAAGACCCCCTACCAACATTACCGGACTCCCTCACTGCAGCACAGGACCCCTTACCATCAATGCCAGACCCTATTCCTCCACTAGATACCATTACTCCATCAGTTGCTAGTATATTACCATTAACTATTGATTCTACTCAATTTGGTCCTGGTCAGTCATCACCAGCTGTCAAGTTGTTGTCTCCAGTTTCATTTTTATCACTACCTTCGGACTCACGTCAACCTGATCACGTCTTACGATCACCGAGTGATTTTGTTAGTTTCTCTTCTCCAGTATCTAGTGGGAGTGGTCTGTTAGTGACCCCACCCACAATAGATAACGAATTAATAGCAATTAGTTCCAGTGGTGCTAGTAACGATTCTTTTCCGTCAGCACTGGTAGAGGGTGTGGCTAACGAGGGCGCTCCATTACTAGAGGAGTCACTAGTTCATGAAGAGGAATGGCCAGTGATAGAACAAGTACAATCTAGTGATGACTTAAGGAAACATGCTTCCAATATAGTGTCAATGGTGATGGATACAGCCCTAGCAACTGTTGCTGCTATGAGAGAGGAGGAGGAAGAGGAAGAGGAGAGTACTGGAGATGAGACTGATGATGATGATGAGGGGGAGGAGTCTGTAGGTGGAGCTAAAGATGATGATGAGGTTCTTGTACAGAGTGATGGAGTAATGCATTCATTAATCAATAAATTGGTATTGCAACAACAAGAAATGAAGTGAGTATGAGTCTATGTACATACTGTGCATAAAATTCCCCATGTTGTTTTACAGTTCTTGAAGTAAACATGTACATATATTTAGTGTACATGGAATACATAAAATACATAAAATACATAAAATTGATGTTACCTAGGCTTTGGATCATAACTGTAAATCCTCATTTGTTTACCTACTGTATAATTAATACATATACACACATGTATTATTCTTGTTATTATTTTAGACAAGAAGCTGATGAGAGAATGACGCAGATGATGCTTGAGTTCAAAAATGAAATTGAGACTATGAACAAAGAAATGATGAGTGCAATGAAAGAACAACTTAAAGAAAATAGTAAGAGAGAGAGAGAGTTGCTTACTTTACAAGTACATGTATTACAGTATGCTGTAACTTTTAGTTGTACTTTAAGAGCAATTAAAATTTTTCTTTAATTTTTTATTACATTTGGTACTGTGATATTGATGCATAATGTACATGTCACTATTTATAATTTTTGTAACACCTTGCCACAACTACACGTGTAAGTTATTTCAATAAATTTTCTAGATCAAAAGATTGAGAAATTAATAAAATCACATGAATTGAAGCGAAATGACAGGATATCACAATCATTGACTCAAACTGTTCAGACAAGCATTGCTGGTAGACTGGAAAAATCTGTTAAGAATGAAACAAAAAATACAATAATACCAGGTACAGTATACACATGCATGTACATGTGCATGTAATTGGTATTAAATTTTCTTCTACACTTAATTGTATATACAATTAATGTCCATTATTGTATTCATTATTGTCGTATGGCCTAAAGGTATTTTGTAATGATTGTTGTAAGATCGACTTAAAATTATTTAGAGGATCATTTTTTAAAATATTCTGTACTATTATAGCCCATGATTTTTCAAAGAAACACATGTACATGTAGGTCCACAATTTTTACTAAATTTTTATATTGGTGTCTTGCTTTATGCTATGTAGAAAATTTGAGCTGATTCTGAGCTGAAACTTTTCGTTTTATGGCCATTTTTGAAATTGGCCAATTTTTAAAAATACATGTACTGTACTTTGTACTATGGCCAGGGATTCATACAAGATTTTTTTGATTGAGTGGTCCAACATGATGAAAATTAATAACAATGCATTGTTCTTATGTTATTAGTGATACAGAAGTCTTTATTAACAACACAAGAAGGTATTAATAGATCAGTAAATGAGCAACTCATTGCTACCAATACTGCCATCAATACTCACCTACACCAAATACTACACACTGAGGTAATGACTACATGTACATGTACATCTACTTGTACTACATGTATGTGTAATGGCAAATGTTGCCCATTCGAATGCCATTTCTACATGTACACATATAAGTGCTCATGCTTTAATTTTAAAAACTTTAATTTCAAGTCTGCAGCTGGCTTTTCATAAGCTTCTGGCTCATTGCTCATTCTAGTTTCACTTATTAATTAATTCATACTTGTCTTGTTTTTAGGGTCTTGTTCAAGCTATTGCCAATGCTATTGCTGGAGTTATGCCTCACATATTACCTGTTGTCATGGAAACACTGTTTAAGAATACATTGCTTCCATCATTTGAGCGTTCCTGTCAAGCAATGTTTAGACAGTTAGATGAAGCTTTTCGGCAGGGCACTACTGAATGTAAGGACTAATGTTTCTGAATACTGTACTTGTATAGTAGGTTTCTCATTATAATTTCATTTATTGTAAAAATCAATGATTTTATTATGCCCTAATAAAATAATTATTGTGTATTGTTAAATTCAATTTAATTGTTGGCTCTTTGACCAGACAAATGTAGCCTGTTGTTATGTTAATAATGCCAGCTGTTTATAACTTAATAGATATATCCCAGCTTCATGATGTAACTGATAGATCTGAGGATACAGCTGCTATCAATCAAATGTCAACTTCTCTTCAATCACTCATTTCATCATTTAATACAACCTCTTCTCCAATCCTTCCTTTGATTCAAGCATCATTACACACTGAACTCTCTCTTTTATTGCCAAGGTACTATAAATCAATTAATGTACATTAATAGACTTATTCGTAAATTGTTGTTGATGATCTACATGTACTGTACATTGTAATTTGATAACGATTTTAAATGCCTGCATTGACTGCCAAATACATGTACATGTATGCATGTGGAATGTTTGGAATTTGTGTGTGTGGGTGTATGAGTATGGGAGCTAATACAGTAAAATCGAGTGAAGACCATCCTAAACAGGCTCCTAAAAGCAGAGAGCAGCAGTAGAGATGAACTTGGAGGGCATAGACAGCCAAGAGAAGCATCCTTAAGTCCTTTGAGAACCTCTAGAGCGTGTGAGCGCTTGCTACTACAGAACATGTGACTGGGAGGTACCGCAGTACTTCCTAGGCGTAGCACAGCGAAGAGTAGCGAAGTAAAATAACTACCTACAAACTACCTACAAAGTTCTCTTCTCCACTGTACTCTACTTTTACTACTTAGCTTTTTTAAAGCACTCTACTGTATCTGTATAATTATTATGTATAACAAACTTAGAGGTATGTGTAAGTGACTGAATTAGAACCACATGGAACAGTAATTTTTAAAAAAGTTTTAAGATATAATTAATTTTAGTTAGTAATTTTTAAATTTAGAGTGAGAGGAATTACAATACATGCTTTCTTGTATAAGCTGAGATAAGTACATGTACAGTACATGTATGATAAATTTATAATAACAGTTTTAGATTTTAGTAGCCTGCAGGATTTGCCACGAAGCATATATGCTAAGTAAGTTTAAAAGCTAGGGAGCTATAAAGCATGCTTTATGAGCTGGCAGCCTGAAAAACACTACAATAGTGCATGTTCATGTACTTCATGTATGGCTTGAGGGCAACTTTAAAAATTGTAACAAAATTGATTTGATCGTAATCAGCTCAAACTTACTACATATAGTACATGTACTGTACATGTAGCATAAGAATTTACGTACATGTACTGTACATGTATTTAAGCATGTACATGTATTTAGCAGAAAAAGTGGAGAATTCTCTTCTAATTATTTTTGGTGTCGAAATTTGGCTCATGACCCTATGCTACTAGTACATGTACACGTACATGTATATGTATGTGTACATGTATCTGTAGTATTTTGCTTTTTTTTTGTGGAAATAATTTGGTATAGGTTTAAAATGACTAAACTATTTCAATCAAAAGTTTTTGAGCAGCCAAAATTTGTGATGTAATTATCAAAGAACGAGTAAGTCAAGACCTGACTCTATCTATTAGTGCTTGCAGTACTTCAATCTGTCACTTCATTACTAAGTTATAAAAAAAGGCTTTCACCATTTGACAGAATTATAGCCATTTATTATCTGTAAATTGGTCATTGTTTGCATCTCTAGCCCTTATACTAGTAATGTGGGAAACAGCATGATGAAGAAGGTTATATTTTTGTACGAAAAAGGCAAATAGTAGTATACATGTAGTACAGGAATTTCAGCCTGGTAACTTCAAAAATTTGTAAAAATTTGAATTTGATCGGAAACAGTTCGAACTTAATTGCTACACAACATAAGAACATTATATTTATCAGAAACAAATACAAAAATGAAAACTTATGTTATAGCGATTTTTCAAAGAAAAATACAAATTAAAACAAAATGTAAGCTACATGCATGTACATGTACGTGTACATTGTATACATTTGTATGTTCAAAGTACTATAATAAAATCTAATAGTTGAAATTATTATTGTTATTAGGTTACAGGATTCAGTTAAAGAATCAGTTGCTATAGTGATTAAAGATGAGTTGATAAATTTACTTGAAGAAAAATCAGCTACCAACAATCAACAGCACCAGGTAATCTAATTAATATTAAAATAATAAATTCAGTTTTTTATTATTATGTCCATGTGCATGTACAAAATATTATATTGATATAAATCATAAAAGAGAGAGCCCAGGGAAGGCAAAAAAAGCTAATAAGGTTATTGTTATTTTAATTTTATTATTGGGAAGAAAAAGGGAACGAAAAGAGCAGGCCTGGGGTAATAGTAATATGTAATAGTAATTGTAATAGTAACGATTACAGGGCACCAAGTAATAGTAATAGTAATAGTAATAGAATCTTTGGCAACAGGAAGTAATAGTAATAGTAATAGTAATAATTGTCAAAGTAATATGTAATCTCAATATTACATAGCTATTACTTGCAGTGTTACACTAATAAGTGACAATAGGAAAATAGCACGTTAGCCAGGAACTATTGCTCAGTACTGAGACTTTTTATCATAAATATAACAAAGCATCCTTAATTAGAAACTATAAAATGGCTTAGATTAACTTCAAAATTAGATTATTTTTATCAGTAACCTATAAAAATCTATGGCGTATTGTAATAGTAATTGTAGTAGTAATATACTTTGTTGTAATAGTAATAGTAATAGATTACTTTGATAAAAGGCTGTAATAGTAATAGTAATATAATAGTTAAAATTTTCAAGTAATAGTAATAGTAATAGATTACATTTAATTGTAATTGACCCCAGGCCTGGAAAAGAGCAAAACACATTCAAACAAATTATTATCATTATAGGATAAATTAATGCAGCTAATAGAGTCTAAGGAATATGATACTGCATTTAACCTGGCACTCTCTACATCAAATCTCAGTTTAGTAATGTTCCTCTGCCATCATGTTAGTCCAGAAGAAGTCTTTGATAGCAATAGCCAGTGTCCATTGTCTCAACCAGTCCTGTTATCATTAATACAGCAGATAACTGTGGATATCAGTGATGATGTTGAACTAAAAATAAAGTAAGAGAATGGGGTGATAATACAAGTATCACATAATCTAATTGGGGCGAGCATGAGCGAGCCCCACTCAGGCAAAGTCTCTCTCCCTCTGTATGTATGTACATGTATGTACGTACGTCTCCCCAGTCACGCCTATTCTAGTCACACCCCATGTGTGCACTACTACTCTCTATTTAAAATCAATGATCTAATGCGGTAGCATTCCGAGGAAGTATTTTCATTGGTGTGAGTGTGGTTGCAATGAAACAAATACAAAATGGCAACTATCAAGGTTATGTGAAAACAAAATGGCGACTATCAAGAAACCAGCTCAAGCAAATCTTACTGAAGCTTACTTGCAGCAAATAAGACTGATCTGTTGTCCAGGCACTTCTCCAGCAAAAAGAAGTTAAGAAAGCAGATATAAATCTTAAAGGTCTTTTTACTTATGGTTGAATAACAAAATAAAAGGTTCAATTATTTTGATTGGCTCAGAGTCAAAGAAAAGGCCTATAGCAGTACTGTGCTTAGCTATACAGTTAAATTATGTTTAAATTGCAGCTGAGATTCTTTGCTAATAATAAAGATAGAAGATCAAGCTATGAAATTGTCTTCCAATGGGCCATGCATGCAAGTCAGTGCATGTGTATGCTCGTACTCGCCCCTTCATTGTTTTACATTCGTCTAGTAAAATTAAAGATTTCTCTTCTTGTACTGTGTCGTTGAGTAGATTCAAAAATTTTATGAAATAACATACACATACATGTACATGTACTTGTATAGTGTCTACAGCAGAAAGAATACAGCATAAAATTTTTGGGGGCTCTACATGTACATGTAAGTTTTTATTGTCCAAAAACCTGTTTGTGGATTTCATTATTTACTGACTAGCCATAATTTCACATACTACATACATGTACATGTACATGTATAATACAGTGTCTTTCACCATCTTTTATAAAAGCTCCTTGAAAGTCCAAATTCGAATCATACTGATCAGCTCTGATGCATATAAGTACTGTACATGTATGTACATGAATTAAGTTAAAGTATTTGTACTTTACCTTTTATTAGGTATCTTGAACAATCAGTACTATCATTGGATCCACGTGATGCAGTAACTAGTGCTCATCTACCTACTGTAATGAAATTATTAGCTGAACAATTAATTAAAGTATAATAATAAATAATAATACTAATAATAATATATTAACTATAGACTGAAGAGAAGATGAGGTCAGAAGGATTAGGCTCAGCTAGTTTATTTCGTACAATGAAAACTGTTCGAATGTTATCAGAACATGTAAGCAGTTCTTCATCTGCTGGTAAACACTAGTAATATAATACGTTAACTGACATCATTTTAAATGTTTTGATTAATTATTAGGCAGTAACTATTTTTGACTTTTAATGTTGATTTAACATTATTATTATTATTGTATCATGACATTTAAACTTTCAAAATGATTTTCTTTCACTGAACCATTTTACTTTTTGTATTGAGTACTACTGACATGTTGATTATAGCTTTTAATGATTTTAGTGAATTTGGTGATTTAGTTTTGCCATTTTGTTCTCGCATTCCATGACACTTGCGTTTCACAAAATTAGTACTATTAATAGCTCACCATTAATTTTATTACAGGTAAGCCAAAATTTGCTATCCAGTATGACTTGCTACATGTAAATCGCAATCATTATCATCAGACCATTAATTTTAGACTTGCATAATTCACCCAAGGCAGTGAAGATGAGTTTCAATTTTTGCGACAGAGTCAAAAACATTGTATTCATGAAAATAACATAATACAGTATAATAATATCTTGATATTCACAGACTTAAAACTTGTTTTCATTATAGCATTATTCACCGTTCTATTAACATGCAGTGTCTAGCCTTTGCAAATTATTACATGTAGTTCTCAGCTGTTCATACTTATTATATTCACGTCAAAAGAGTAATTGCATTTTCACAAAATTAATACCACTGCAAGTTCCCCATTTACTTCATGGAAGCTAAAATTAGCTATCCACCATTACCTGCTAACTCACAATCATTGTCATCAGACCGTTTGGACTTTCATAATTCACCAGCAGTATCATGAGGCAATGAAGATGAGTTTTAATTTTTACAACATAGTCAAAAGTGTGGTATTCTTGAAAATAAAATACAGTAAGACAGTAGACATGTACATGTCTGTATAATTTTTACAAATTTGAAACTTGTTTTAATTTATAGCATAGTATTTATTTTTGTAGCAGCATGCAGTGTCTAACTTTTGGAGATCATTACATGTATATTATACATGTAGTTCCCAGCTGTTCAAGAAAAATGTTACATATATAAAAGTCTAAAACATTATCAACAATTTAGCTAATGAATGCAAAAAAATAATGTACTTTTCATTCAATTCCACTAAGTTGTGTACTAATTATTGTGTCATTTATAGGTTTAGTATTTTGTTTGTTTTTACTGAAGAAGTATTCAGAGGATGACATCATAATGTTGTCTTCAATGCAGTGTTTACTCCCTTGCCCCCACCCACTCCCAATTGACTAGTCTACAGTATGTAATAGGGTTAAGTGCTGTTGTCCACACTAATAGCAAAAAATACAAAATAGACAAAAAGCAAAAGACTGTACCAAACAACAATTTAAGAGAATTTAGATTTACCTTACAGACTAGTGTTCAAAACAAAAACGGCAGGGCCACAGGGGGTGAAAACTTCTTAGAGGAAAAACCCTCTTATGAGACCAAAATCTCATCTTACACAAAACAAAGGAAATATAATAATACTACAAACTTTATCAGTGTCAAATTAATATTTGAATAATGATAATGTTATCACTACAATACATGGACCAAAAGTATCGAAAGGTATATACATGCAACTTCTTACAGTTTTTTGGCTTAAACCATGCACTTATACTATGCACAGGTGTACAGAATTTGGTACTAAATGGCTTAATCTTTTCATCATCTAAAATTTTTTATGATTTTACTTAAAATTGGATATTTGTGAAAAAAATTTTTGTAACTTGACCAACATGAGCAGTTGTTACATCAGAGACAGGTACATGTAGTTTTCCGTGATTAGAACTTTTGTGATTACTATTATAAAGTTTCACAAAAATTTGAAGCCATACGGTAAATTATTATAATGATAAACTATAATCTAACCATTACAAATCATATTTCATTTCTGTATTTGGCAAAATAAGCATAAAGTCTAAAACAATAAGGGCAATAATCAATCAAAACAATGTACATGTCTAGATACTCGATCTCTATGTAGTCATACAGTACTACCACATTGTCTCTGGTATTCTCTTTGCTGCTGGTTTTTGGTTCCTTTATTCTTGGTGATATATTAAAATGCTTCTTAAACTTCTCATTAACACTGCAACTCTCATCAACTGGTGGCCCATTAGTCTAACATTGAAAAGGAAAATAAATACATGTAAATAGTATTGTATAGCATAAAATTTTGGAGAGACTAAAATTTTGCAAATTGCTAAATTTGGGTAATTGGCGAATATTAATTTGGCAAATTAGTGGCCATGTGCCATTGAGCATGCGTTTAATGGCTCAAAATGGTGAATTTTTATTACGGCGAATGGCTATCAAAACACAAAATTTAATTCCCTCCAATATTTCCCACTATAGAGCAAACTGACTGTATCTGTTTGTTTCAATTTCTGTAAAACTTTAGCAGCTGCAACACTCCTAGCAATCTTACGTGAATGGGCAATAGCCATGTCACGTATATTCTTATCATCAATTTCAATGACATAACAATGACCGTAATAGCTAAATAAATGAAAAAAAGTACTGAATCTAATCAAAAATAAATTTATTTATGCCATTTAATGCATGTAAATAATTATTATCTCACTTTCAAGTTTGTCATTGTTTTTAAGATAAGCCAATTCAACGTAAAATCAAATTCTGATATGAATTTTGATGCCTCTGAAAACAATTCTGGCACACGAAAGATCACAAAATATTCAGTCAGTCCTGCAGCTGTGTTAACAGCTCTAATCATACAATCATATGCAATAATCTATTAAAAAATGTTAATTTTGGAGAAAAGGATCAAGGCATACCTCATCATACTCTTTAACATTAAAAATTGACACAGAGAACCAGGGTAATCATTCAATTCAGTCTTCAAAACAGCATGAGAAATTGACTCTAGTGATGCTTGTAGACACAGTAGAAAATTTTCATGATGTTTAATGAGACACCCCTTGCTCTCAGAATTACTCTGACATACTAATGCTTCCTTTCCCCTGTTTATTATTTAAAGGAGGATTTGAAAAAAAGGTAATGAACTTATTTCATTGCTTGTTTGCAATAGTCTTGAAGTGGTTGCAACCATTTATTCATCTGAAACTTTTCACAAAGTTTTTCCTCCTGAGCAAATTCAGAGTACTTGACTGTCGCTTCTTCCCAATTTAAACTCCTACTAGTTCAAAAAACTTGTTGATATCACGAACTTTCTTAGTGCGTACCGTCTCATAGTAGCTACTGCTGACATTGTATTATACCAGCGGGTTATAAGGAGCATTGGTGATATAAGTGATATTCCCATGCCCTTTCTCTCCAATCAGTTGAGCCATTGTTCCATCCAATAGCAATTGAGCTGTTGGTAACTGACGGGTCCCTAGCTTGTTCTTTAATCTCTGCAAAGGAGACAATAGTAAATAAATCATTAAATTTTTATTATTACAATCACTGTTATAACATTTACATGTACATCTAAATGGCTCACCTTTATTCTAATGTTATTTATTGATCCATGAGTGTCTCTTGCTTTAATGTAAAATAATGAGATACCTTCAGTACCTTAGGCAAGATCAATAATTAATAATAGAATCATATAACTTTTTACTCACTGCACAAAATATAGCACATCTTATACACATACTGCTTGTACATACATGTACATGTACACATTAACATCATATTAACAATAATCATTCAATGATAATTCACAGTGTAATGAGTATATGATTGTCTCACACTAAAGTACTTACATCAGTCACTTGACCAGATTCCTCTTGTACATCAGCTAATGTAAATGTCATATCAGCATCAGTGGCTGTCACTGGCTGAACTGAGCCACTTATAGCCATGGAGACAATGCCTGTCACCATTTTCCAGGAGGGCATAAGAAGCAGTCCCTCTAGCTATAAAAATAAAAGAATCATAATACTGCAAAAAAATAAAGTGATTTTTCTTACCAACATCAGAACCACCACCTCTCTCTGTCATCCATTGTCCTGATATCCAGAAGCTGCTAGGATCCCTTGAAGTGAGTCTATTATAAGTAGTAGCCATTGTATCTATTAACTTCATTACCTATCACAATAAATAATACACATACCAGTATACAATGTGGTTGTCAAAATAATTCTATTACAATATGCTTTGGCATTGCTTTATAGTAGGGAGTGTAGCATTGTAGACATTCATAAAATATAATTAATTTTAAAAATACAAAAACTAATAATAATCCGATTCTGTGAAAACAATAACAACAATTTTTATTAATTAATTCATAATGATTATACACTAACAGTGATTTCTCTCCCTCTCTCTCTCTCAAACTATACCCTTCTGACTAATATTTTTTTTTAATTATGAGCAATTTTAAAAAAGCTAATTTTCAAATAATTAATACCCAAAGCTACAAGTATATAGTCTATGGTTTTTTGCAAAACATGGCCCTGAAATCAGTCAAATAACCCATAATTTTACATATTCTGATACGGATTGATGTACTAAGGCTATGTAGAACTGATCCCAAAGAATTTTTCCAAGCAACAGCCATTTTTAGAAATGGCAATTTTTCGAAAAATACACAAGGCTATAGTTCATGGTTTGTTCCAAACAATGGCTCCAAAATCACCCAAAATTTTATGACATTTTCTGATCTAAAAATATTTTTAGAGTTGATTCCGACAAAATAGTTTTGAAGTTATTAACATTAAAAAATATTATCTTCCATTATTATCACTTACAGAGTAGCTGTAAGACACAGACTTCCTTTTGTAGACTAAGATTTCTGGACTACTACTACTCAACCTATGAAAAATAATAAATAAAATAATCACAATAATAATCACTTGTTAATTGTGTAAACATGATACTCTTTCATAAAACACCAAGTCTTCAAACAGCATACAGTGTACAGTGTACTACAGTACAACCTCTAGTGGACCTGCTGTACTGAACAAGTCTTAAGAGAAGGAAAGAGAGAGAGAGAGAGGAGAAAGGAAAGAAGCAGTTTAAATAAAAAAAAGTTACAATCATACAGTACAGTACAATTATTGAATTCACGATTATGGTACTATGTATCAGTATTAATTACAGGTTTAGCATAAGAGAACTAACCTGAGAGTAATATCTGTTAGACAAGGAGAGACAACCTCATTAGAAGAGGGAGAGAGAGGACCAGGAAATACTCTAAAATTAAAACTCACAATTATTAGTTTATTATTAGCAAGAGTAGATAATCTACTCTTGTTATTAGTAGTTTATTAATTTATTATTAATGTTTATTATTAATGTACTTGATGTATTATTAATTTAATTAGTTTATTAATGTACTGTACACAGTACATTAATTGAGGGACTACTAGTCTAGTTTAGTTCTTAAGTTCTAGTTTAGTTCCTCAGTCAAGAACAAGCCTAGTTCTTGAATGAGGACATTAACACAACCTTCTCCTGTAGAGGGACTCCAAGGGAGAGAGGGAAACACTACAAGCAGGAGGAACAGAATGTTATAAATATGTGTACATGTACACATGTACTTATACAGGAATACCCACCAATCATTAATATGTGTACATGCTCAGGATAGTGTACATGTACGTGTATGTTTTCACAAAATGAGAACAAATTAAATAATTTGAAAAATGTATTACGTCACAAAAATGACGTATTTTAATGATATTCATAGAAGAATGGCGGCTGTGTTGTTCAGCACTCTTAAAACTGTTGCTGATAAGCAGTACAACAGCTACTGGAGTCAACTAGTCTTCATAATGGCCATCATTATCAGAAGATCTTGCTCTGATAGCTTTTTAAAACAAGAATTATCAGTTTGTGCTCTAGACCACATGTGCTTATGTAAACTATGACGTAGATAAACTGTCATAAAACGTCATTTTGGTATGCCATTGGGTTTATAGGGAGAACCCGGTTCTCAGGGTTCCCAAGAGCTGAGAAACCCAAGATTTCACAGATTTTGATGGACTTTAGCAACTAAGAACCTGTGAAAGTTTCATCCTTATCCCACATTCCTATAAAAAGTTATTCCAGTTTTTCATGTCCCAAACTCAACTGGGATATAGTATACCATAGTCATACCTACAACCTATAACTAATGGAGGGAATGATAATAACAAAAACAAAAGTAATTTGAGTACCTTTAAAAATTTGTACAAAATTTTATATATTTTGATCACAATCAACTCAAATTTTCTGCACAACATAAGTACATGTACCATATTTTACTGTATAAACGCCTGGTCCAAATAAACACCTGTCATTAATATATTCTAGCTATAGATGCGCATATTTCTACCAAAAATAATGCCTCCACTGTTTAGATAGCTCCAAAGTGCTTAATAGTTAGAGCCTCACCTGACTTGCCCAGAGTTGGGGGGGGTTTGAATCCCACTCAAGGTCACTTTTTATTTTTTTTTCAACGATTTTTTTGCTGCTAAGAAATAAACACCCGGGCGTTTGATCGGTAAAATACGGTATATGCATCAGACAATGTAAAAATCTCATTTTCAATTTTGGAAAAATTCATCTAGTGACTAAGATTCAGTACAATTATAGTACAGGGATTTTTAGCCGATTTTGGAGCAAATTTACAAATTCAAAAAAAATCAAATCATTGATCAACTCAAACTTTCTGCACAACATAAGTACATGTAGTACATCTCTTCATAAGCTCTAAAGCTAACAGTAACTGTTGACTGTAAATTATGTATTATTATATGTACATATATGAACAGAAGGATTAGACTGAGAAGTTGCTAGATATGCTCAATTAATAATAGATTAATACACTAACTGTAATATCCTTCAGCTAGCATCGCCCAGTTATCAGTTAATGATCATCCTCACCAATACCATCAGCTAACAGTGTCTTACTGGGACTCTCTAGGGATATATATGTACATGTAAATACACCAGAGACGAGGGGAGAGAGAGGAGATAAACTCACCATTTTTATCTTAAATATATGACATGTACATATTGTACATTGGAATGTATAATACTGCAACAGTGGTAAAACATGTATATGTACAGTACATGTATACATGACAGGGACATAGAAGGAAGGAAGGAATTGGTCAGGCTATAGGCAGGAAATGTAGTTGCCAGGCCCATTAAAATTAAATCATAATTAATCAAGAGGTGTGCCTTTATTATAATGAATAATGATTAAACAGAGCAAAAGTTGGTCAGGCCCAAACCTGACCCGCAGGGGCCTGTGGGGGCAAATGCCCTCATAACTGCTTCTTGTGCCCCTGCAACTAGGCAGGAGAATGAAAGATACAAGTTACAACTGACTCAACTGAGCTTACTATATTGAGTATTCTTAAGCATTGCTTTAGTCAGTGACTCAGTGCCCCCAGGCTGTGCCCTTTTTCTTCATTTATTCTAGCTACGCCACTGCTGACCTGCCGGACTGGGTTTATGCCTATGCATGACATCTTTTATGCCTGATTAGTCAATTCAAACTGTGTATGATAGAATCCTTCATTAACTGTACATGTATACATGTACTGTATGTGTGTACCTCATTGATAGCCACGTTATATATTAGAGTATAGGAATGGGATTGGAAACCAGCGCAAATATTACACGTAGATGATGGAACCTGAAGCAAGAGATCTCTAGAGGGTGAAGTCATAGATACTATATGGTGAAGTGTATAGGCGGCCACGTTATTTCACGTGTTACTATACTTTACGTTTTACGCGTACGCGTACATGCACGACACGCACGACACCCGGACCCATTCACTCCACCTACATTAAGGCACGTGACAAGCACAATAGTATCAACATGGCGCTTTTACTGACACTAAGGAGCGGAGCTTTACCTCGTCTCTCAATCCTCCAGAGTTATCGTCGGACACCCATTGGTGTGGGCATTGTGTCTCGGTATATGACTAGTGATAGGAAACTCAGCAATGATATTCAGGGACTCTCCATCAAACACTCTGTACCAAATGGTGACGCCCAGACTCCTGTCGACTCGCCCCGCACTGTACCTAAGAATGAGGATCTTCAGGTGCCACCGACCAGATCAGAGCTGAAGAATGGAATGCTTCCACCTCCCGGAGCTCCTCCACCACAGAAGTATAATCTGTGGGAAAAAATAAATTGGCCCATTGGTAAATCTATTGCTGGTGCTATCTTAACTGCAATGATTGGATACTTGAAGGCACTCTGGGATTCTAAGTCAAAGGAGCGTGCTATTGACAATATGATGGAGAATGGAACTAAACCTTGTCCGTTGGTTGAGAACCCTATTGAACGTAATGACATTGTGGAAAGGATTAAGAACACGTTTATTCTTGGGCAAGGTACTGAAAAGAAATTTGGAGTAATTCTTGGTCCAACTGGAACAGGAAAGACACACGTCATTAGGGAAGCACATCGTTGGCATCCTAAAGGATCTCTTTACTTTGAAACTGATGGAGTGCCACTATTTGCCAAAGAGTTGGCTGAAGCTACTGGTATCAGGATTGAACCCACTCTCTTGAGTGTTGTGTTAAGCAAATTTTTCCCATCATCTCCTGGCTACTATCCACTTCCATCAGATTTTATTGATAGTATGGTATCAGTGATTCGCATTTTGGCTCAGAGAGCTGCTGTTTTCAAGGAGAAGCACGGACGGTCTCCTTGCTTGTTCATTGATGCGGTGGATTTACTTGCCAAGGACAATCATGCAGCATTTGTAAAATTGGTTGAAATAGCCAAAAAGCTTGCCAATGATGGGAATCTTCGTATCATATTTGGGTGTTCAGAGGGTCATGTCATGCCCCTTGTTCATGGTACATCTTCCAAAACTCGAGTTCATGTAATGGAAGTACTGGATATACCGGAAGAGAAAGCTGTTGACTACCTCATGGACAAAGGATTGCCTAAAGACTTTGCTGATCGAGTAACAAAGGAAGTGGGTTGTAGAATGATATTTTTAGATCATGTCGTTTCTTTTTATCATTTCTACAAGTCACAGTATAGTGCTGATGATGACCTCCTAAAGAAAATTAAGGATAAATGTCATTTCCTGTTTACTAAACAGGGATATTCTGAAATAGTACGACAAAAGCCACGATCTGCCATCATCATTAAACACCTGGTTAAGTTCGATAGAGCAACAGGATTCGACCCTGAAGTATTTCTTGACGAATATAGTGATGAGGCAGTTAGAGGGAGTATGGAAGATAGTCTTCAGTTATTGGTCAGTAGCAATGCTTTGAGGTACACAGAGGAAGGACAAGTGACTTGGCATAGCAAGATGATGGAGGAGAAAGTTAAGAAAGAGTTTAAACTAAAATAATTTTGAGATTTAACTTTGAAACAATAGTGTTGTGAACTTGTTAGCTATTAGTTTTTTTATTTAAAATTGGCACAAAGAACTGAATAAGCATAATTAAGTAATTCAAGCCCAGCCTATGTACCTGCCCACCCTCTTAAATTTTAAGTTTTAACTCCAACATGCTGGAATCAGAAGGCGAGATTTTGTCGACTAAGAATACTAATTCTAACCATAGATATACAAACACCTACCTATCTAAAGGTTAGAATGTGATATTTGCTATCATCAGACATGTATTGCTATAGACTGTGAGAGGTGGTGCATGTCTTTAAAACTATTTGTTTACTTCCTCCAGTACTGAAGAGTTCAGTCAGTGAGAGAAGAGGAGACCTAACATGATGTGGTGACTAACAGGAATAAGTGTATGCCAGCTAATGAAAGGTCACATAAATCTTGTAGTTGCAGTTACTGTAAGACTATGTACAGTAGGTAATCTAGTCCTTAGTTTTGATTATTTTTTGTGATCACAATTGAGCCTTGTTGTGTCATTTTTATTTGTAACATCATACCTGGTACTGACAGGGGCGGATCTGGGTCAAGTTTCATGGTAGGGCAAAGAAGTGGGTGGGGCATTTATAACTTTCAATAAGTAGTTATTAACTATTAATAACTTGTAATTAACTTTTTATAATAATTAAGACAAAATGTTGATCTGTTCTTATCTCCATTTTCAAATCTGTTCTTATCTCCACTTCTACCTGTACTGTTCCACCGCTTTGTGGATGAGAAGATAGTTGGTTGGGGCCGTTTAAAATTGTAGTTAAGAGACAGCTGCTAATGCTGCTTACTCATTGTCCTTTTTTCAGTGCACATGTTATGTGGTTTTAAAGATTAAAGAAGCCATAATAAGCACACACACAAGTTTATTTAAGATGATGCATATGAATTTCATTATATAATTATGAATCTCATTATCTTATAAAGTTGATGCCTGGGCAAAAACCCGGGCTTGCCCAGGTTCAGATCCGCCCCTGGTGACAGGTAGTCTTTGAAGATTGAGCAGGTTTCCCTTTAGGTGGATTCCTATGGTTTGATGGTTGCTTGTTTTTGCTACGGCACACTCTAGCCAAATGCCCTTTCTTTCCACATACTCTGCATTCAGAATCCATGAACCTGCATTTGTTGGCATAGTGACCGCCTCCACACCTATAGACCTCTTTGGGTGAGAATGAATTACGTCAAAGAATGATATACGGCAAGGGGCGTGACTGAGCCTGGCTGACTCTGAAATAATTTTCGTGGACGGCAACTTTCTATGGAGTATAAATGGGCTAATGCAGAAAGCAAGCTCTATTAAAGAATATGCTTCATATTGCACCAAATCTCTTTTAGGAGATGCTTAGCAGTGACCATTCTTTCCTCCAATCAGCTTTTGTAGCTTGAAAAAGCTCCATGCCAACGAAAAGAATCAGTTTTGCCTTTTCTTCATTCATCCTCCATTGAATCTTGCCGTCCAAAATGGCGGCCAATTATCACCGTAGGTGGATACCGTAATGAACAGTAATGATATTCATAGGCCACCGTCAATCTCACCTGAAGAGGTCTATAACATTCCACTTTGCTATGATCTTTTTTCTGCACTGAATGAACAGGTAGAGCGCCTGGTTTCTGTTCTGACATCTTAAAGGCGTCCTGAGCTGCTGCTTCCATTGCCAGGGCTTTCTGGAAAGCCGCCTCATACGATAGATCAGTTTCCTGAAGAAGCCGACGCTGGATGCGAGTGTTATTTATTCCACAAAC